TGTTCAGCATGAAAAGATACATAAATTTGTGGCCCTATGGATTGATGCTTCCTCAAATTAAGCTCTCCACAGGCAGCAAGCTGCTCCCAAACTGTGTGTAGGAAYTGTGCCTTCCACAAGGCAATCCCCCTCCACCCCATTGAATATGAGGGGGGCTACAGCTGGTCACACTCCAGAACCCTAGGTCATGCTCCCAAAACCACTCCAGTGCCTGCAGCAGGACAGGGAAGACCCCTGGGCCTGGGTACCTACCACTTGAGTGCCATCAGGGATGCTGTAGGTAACCTGAAGAGTTGGGTCTCGATAGTAGCCAGGCAGGCTCTGYGCCAGGGAGGAGACCCTGAATGTCCCCAAAAGCTTGCGAGCTGGGACAGCAGAGGCCAAGCGGCAGCAAGGTAGCTGGGTGCTGTCTGCTGCAAAACACATCCTGCACAAGGCATGGCCACAGGGTGCCTGGCACGTCATGCACAAGGCCTGGCAGGCGGCACACTGACTTGGTGAGGTCTTGCTGCTGTCCTGTCCAAGGCTGGGACCTTGAGTTTGCAGCGACAAGAGGGCAAGCTCCTTCTCCACRTTGGTCCTGCCAGCTGGGCTTAGGGCCCTTTCCTGGCCCTGGGGCTCTGCTGCAGGCAACTGCTCTGCCACAGTCTGGTGCGGCTCGGGGGTGGCAGTCCTGTAGAGCCAGGTGGGCAAGGAGTGAGGAGCACCGTCTGCTGCAGGAGCCGGTGACTGCAGATGTCCCATCTCATCCTTGTGGCCTCCTGTGCTCTTGTGTCTTGCAAACTGGAATCTGTCTGGTAAAACCCGCTTTAGCCGTGCAATGTCAGGCTCCCTTGTAGACAGCTTTTGCTTTGGCTGTTCTTGGGACKCCTTCAGGCCAGCAGGGCTTTGGTTGTCCACCCCAGCAGAGCGAAGGAGGCTGCTTCCTCCCTGCACTGCYCCAGGAGCTGCAGGGTCACTGGCTTCCTCCTCTCCCCACGCTTGCTGGAACAGCCAAGGGCTGGGAGCTCTCCTTGCCTCAGCACCTTGCAGCTGGAAAGCCTCGAGTTCGGCTGAGTCAGTTGCTTTATCATTAATGTCCAGGTGCTGCAGGCCCATCTGTAGAGACTCCGGGTTTTCAGGAAGGGCTGCAYCCAGCAGGGCGCCCTGGCTCCTGGCTGGCTGGCTGACGCTTGGCGTCTCCGTGCCAAGAGCTCTCGCTYGTGCTGGTCCTGGAGACACAGGGGAAGTCTTCAGTCTCCTGGAAGAAAATACTTGGAAGGCCTCAGTCACTCCTGACAGCATCTCCTTGGGGCAAGCAAGGTACAGCTTGTACTTGTCCTTGCTTACTCCAACCTTGGTGGAACCTCCTTGCAAGAGGCTGCACAGTTCACTCAGGGCACTGTCGTCCGGCCCATCAACAGCGAGTTCCGAGTAACTCATGCTCTGATATACGAGATCAGGACACTTTTGCACAAGAGTTTCTACTTTCCATTTGGCCTTGCAAAGCTTGTTCCTGTCCTCTGCCTGCAGGGTCAGCACAGTGCAGTCCCCAGCTCGATGCTCAGAGATCTGCACGCCATCCCTGCACAGTTCATCAACAGCAGAGCAGCAAATGGCTTTCAGGTAAGACCACTGCAAAGGGTCCAGACTCATTTCTTCACTCACTCCATTGCCTCCACTGATGGCCCTAATGGTGTCTCGAGGCTTGTTGCTTTCCTTTGACTTTGGCAGGGAGAAGCTATTGGAGCGTTGCAGCGAGGCCTTAGCTTCAGAGGGCTTAGAGTCCAAAGTGGAAGAGTTTGTTGTGTCAAAGAGATTCAGAGACTGAAAGGCACCAGATTTGCTATTGAGAGGTYGGTGACTGATGGGACTTGAGCCTTTAGAGTTGCCAGAATGCAGCAAAGTGTTGTTTTCTTTGCCCCCAAAGGGAGACAGGGTCTTAGGTCTTGCCAGCATTGCAGTTCTCTTCACCCGGTCCTGTTCTCTGGACTTCTTCTGTGGAGACCCTGCTGCTGGCCCCAACACCACATCTGCTGCTGCTGTAGTGACATGGGGCTGCTCCTGGTGCCTCAGTGCTGTTGGGTCACTTGTACTGAGGGTGTCTGTTTCTGTTAAGTGCTTTCCTGAGAGCAGTGCTTGTCCCATCCCTGGAGAGTCCTGATCCAGCAAAAGCCCTGGCCTGGCGGGAGACCTGTCAGCCTTCGGAGCGCTGCGGCTGGCAGCTAGCTTGGGCTCATTTTGCAGCTGCAATCTACCTGGGCTCTGCCTTGAAAGAGAGGTGCCCGTGGGGCTTTTAGGCTTGTGCAGTGCAGCCTCTGTGGTGTGGGAGGCCACCGGGTGCCAGGGCAGAGAGCTCCTGAGCTTGCTGGCTGTGTGTGTAGCCCTTCTTCTGGTGCAGAAATCCCAAAGATACTGCTTGGCCTGAGAAACATCAACTAAGTTTCCAATAAGATAAATCTGCCTCTCATCTTCATGGCAGAGCACACGGGGATACAGTTTTTGAATCTCATGTGACAGCACCTTCTGTGTCTGGTCGTCCACAGCCAGGTCTCTTTTGTCGATCTTCTCTTTGCGCAAGCTCACTTCCAACTGCTGGTAGAGCTCCTGCAGGACCAAGCGGGCCTGTCCTAAGGCCTCCATGTCCCCAGACGCACCTGCAGATAYGTGCAAGTACAGTATGACAATGTCATCACTGCTAAAGTTCACCACGTCCACATGATGCTGCTGAAGCACACGATGGTACTCATGAGCACAGAATCTCTGCATGTACAAGTAAATATCTGAGTCCATCACTAGGGAAAACTCCTCCAGCTGCTCCATGGCTTCTCCATGCACTGGATCCTGACATGGTGGGGCCCCAGCTGCCTCTTTACACACTTGGTCCCAATGTGGCAGTTTTGTTGGCTTTGGTGCTGATTCAAGAGAGCCAAGCTGGTTATCGCGGATTGCAGTGCCTTGGGCACCATGGCTGCGTTCTGACTGGGGAATCTCTCCGGGTGGTTGGCTCTTGATGTTCAGGCTTAACAGCAGATCTCTGCTGAAGGCCTGCAGCTCAGTGAATGGTCCCTTGACTATGCAGTGTGTGTCCTGGGAGTCAAAGTTGATCTGCRCATTGCTGTAGCCTTTATGCAAGTTCCTCAGAAGGGTTTTGCCATCAGGAAGCTTCCCACAGTCAACTACCATGTGAACATGTACGAAGATCTGCAGAAACAGGACAATGGAGTGAGAAAGCAAGGACCAACACTCGCCCCCGCTCCAAGGAGCAGGAGGGGTAAATGCACTTGCCACTTGCCACAGTCTGCATTATTATGACAGAGAAGATGACATGACTGTCCACCTCCATCTCCTGGTATCTGGCTTTTCAAATTAGGTGGGAGCACAGCACAGGCAAGACAGAAAGCTCCAGGTAGCTCAGACCTCCAGACCTCAGAGATACAGCCCCACTGGCACATGSTGCAAGCTGTGCAAACGGCCCCAAACCAAGAAATCCCCTACTCTGGCTCAAACACAACCACTTCTGCATCTGACATGCAGTTGCCTTCTTGCTCTCTCCATGCTCCAAGCAACCAGGCCCCCCAGACCTGGGAAAGTTTCCCAAYGCCAGGCTGGCTAATAGCCACACATGAGCTCTCAGCATGCAGACCTGCAGGTACGAGACACGGCTCCTGCCCACCTACCCRTGGGCACAAGACACAGCTCCTGCCTACCTATGGAGGGGGAAGACGTGAGAACTTGCAGTGCCTCCCAGGCACCAGCACATCTCCTACCCTCTTCTGTGAGGGAGAGAGAGGATGGAAAGGCATGGCCCATGGGCTAGCAGCATGGCCGAGCCAGTAACTGGATCCCTCATGGGACACCAGACGTCTGGGGAGAGACTCTCCACCGGCCTGGTTACTCTAACAGGCGCAAAGAGTAGAGAGCCAAGGACAGCCCCTGCTGCACATCCCCGGGATGTTGGCACAAAGCAAAGAAGTGATACTGAGCGAGCTTGGCGGGACGAGGGCCAGCGTGCGGCTACCTGGTCGGGGCTGAGCTCGGTGTCGTGTGCGGTYACCTCCAGCGGGTAGTGCTGCCCTCCAACGCGGAGCACGTGCTGCGGGGTCGCGAGCACCCGTCGGGCCACTGCGTGGTGTGAGTGGGACCGGGTTAGGTGTTTAGGCAGGTTAAAAACCTGCCTAAAGCGTTTRGGTTTTTAGGGCTGCCCAGCCCACCCGGCCCAGCCCACCTCACCTGCGGGCTCCTCGAAGGTGACAAGGGCACGGACCGGGGTGCCGGGCAGCACCCGCACCTCGGCGATGTCGCCGCCGCCGTGGCGGGCGCGCAGAAAGTGGATGGTCAGCTTGTCGGCCAAGCGCTCGGGCGGCAGCTCGGCGGGGAGGCCCCCCACGCACACGGTGCGGCCCGCCATGCTGCGTGGAGTGGGGACACCACCCACGACGGGGACCGCCGGCCCGGCCCCGGCCCCGCTCCCCCGCCGGCCCCGCTGCCTCCCGCGGAAGCGAAAGTGAAACGGGC